CTGTGGCAGAATAACTTCTAGGAAATCCTTTCACTTGTAAATATCTTTAAAAAAGAGATCCCCCAAGCTCTGTTTGTTTAAAAGCCAAGTCAAATACATGYACAAAATAGAGACTGACTTGCACAAATCATCTCTTGAGGTATTAAAGGCTATGGATAAAAGTTAACGTTCTATGGAAATACCAGAAATCTCATAAAGCTGTTTTTAAGCATTAAGTAAAACTTGAAAGGAGGAGTATGTTCAGCTAAGGGAGATGTAGGAAGAATTATATATTTGAGGTATCTTCTATCAGGTCRTATATATTAGGTCAGACCAAAGGTGTTTTGCAATCTATGTCTTGATTTTAACAACGGGCAGTAACAGATGCCTGGAAAAGAGACCAGAGGTAGTGCTAATTCCTCCAGCTGCTCGGCTAGCTTCTAGCAGACTGCAACATAGGGGTTTCTGAGCAGGTGTTTTGGTATTTCATCACTAGGTATTTAATATTTGCAGTGAATTTAGGCAATCTGGATTCCTTGAGATCTCTAGCATCTACAGTGTCCAATTTGCAGGAATGACAGAAGCGTAAGTGCTCGTTTCTGTAGAACCACAAGTGTAAAAAGTTTGCTTTTGGAAAGTAATGGCCRAGTTTGAATGTCTATAAGAATGAAGAATGCTTTGATTCAGACTTTGAATGTGCAATTTCTACAGCAGCAGAGGGCAGGTATTTTACCTATCTTTATCATAGGGTCATCCCAAAACGTTCTAAGTCATTCCAGTGTGATTTGGAAAGAGTTAGTAATGAAATGGCACTCTTCTATATTCATGAATTGATCTATCTTTCACTACAYCTGTAGGAAATGATCAGTATAGAGCAGACAGGTTTGATTTGCCTTTCCAGTCTTGGATCGATGTAGAGGATGCTGAGGACCATCCTCAATTCATCTTTTTCCTTCTTCCTCTGAAGTTWTAGGGTTTGGCAGCAGATCTTTAAGGATGTTTTCTTTGGTGCATGAGGCAAAGGATTCTTTATGGTAGCATATGGTCTTTTAATTCTTGTCAGAAAAGAAGAAAGAATACAAAATGGGGATATGGCTTGCTTCATCCAGTAGCTTTTTATGAAATCAATAAGATAAAGCAGTAAAAGCAGTCTAGTTCTAGGAGAGATATTTAAATAAATGCATTTGAATGTTACAAGGGCATGGGAAGCTATACAGTGAGAATGTGTTACCTTAGATAAATGATCAAGGGATAAACTTAAACCTCCATTTTACAGTGTGGGATTTGGAATCACTTACAGTTCCTTCCCAGAGGAGATGAAGATGAAGAAAAAAGTAAGATTAGAGACATGGAGGACGTGATTCTTCAGAAGATAACTGCATAGTAAGGATTGTAATAGGCTGCCATGATCAAGAGTGTTTCTCGTAAGAAAAAATTATGTGCAGCACCAGGTTTCTTGGAAGCATATTTGAATTACAGAATTAAGTGACTCAGTCTTTTTCCTCTGAGTTGCAGGCCTTCCAGAGGTAATGCCTACTGAATGCTGACAAGCTGTTTTCTGAGGAAATATTCTTCTCTGTCTTTCTATCGATAGAATATCTCTGTGCAACATATTAAATCAAGCATACTGTAATATTTCCGATGCTATTTCCCAATATTCAAAAGAGAATTTTGGAGTTTCAGAGTCAGTTCACTGGACATAAAATAAGATTCAGGAAAGCCTATTATATAAAACAGTGTATTTTCAGCACAATATTAGTACTCAACATACGCCTAAGCAATATTAGTTCCTCCCTGATGTTTTCATAAGCCTGTTTAAACATGTTTTTGTATTAGTGAAGAAATTGGCATGGAAACTACTGCTTCTTCAAATAAATAATCAATGGTTTGAGCATAATGTTGTAGCATGGGAGATGAGAAGAGGATTATATGGGAAAATGTGATAAGAACAATTCTGTTTTCAGTGCTTGTTATGTGGAGAGCAGGTGGCAGGAATAGTCCTGGTGCTGTTCTGGGCTCACAGTGACCAATAATGGCTTAAACCTGCTTGAAAGATGATCTGTCCTTGTAGGGTACAAAAGTAAAAATTCTTTTGTCGCCATCATAAAGAAGATATTCAAAGGCTGGAGAATTTTCTTAATTCAGTCTTTCATTTTCCCCTTTGCAATCTGAATTAAATATCTCTGGTGTGAGGAAACTTTTAACTGGTTTGGAAAGAAAGTATTTGTGATTTAATTGTTTAGAGCTGTCTTAACAGAACTAGCTCTTGCCTGCTTTTAAAATGCCATTGCTCACAGAAATCCAAAGTATTGGGAGAACATTGTTCCCCGTTTTTGGATTTGAATTTATGTCTTTCCTCATTGTCTGAGGATGAGAGGGGAAAAATAAGAATCTTTATTTGAGGCAATGCCCAACCTTGTCTTCTAAGTTGAACAAAGAATAAAATCTCTTTTAAATTTTGAATTTAAAATGTGTGAAATTTGCATGGGAAATGATAACCTTAGTTTGATACTGTGCGTTCAGGAGTAGATCAGCTGATCTACCAGTTGTCCAATCTTGGTTAAGAAAAGTAAGACGTTAAGAAACAYTTGTTTCGTGAGGATTTGGATCATCTTGTTTCTTCTCCAGCTATGTTGTCATGGGTTTGGCAGGTATTGCAAGATGGCTACGTGTCTGTCCTCATATGAAACTTTTTACACTTATGTTTACTTCTGCCTGGATTCATTGGTGAGTAGACTTAAGATTTTGTGGCTTTCTGGTCCTGACCTACCTCTTGGAGTAACCCTTCTCCCTTGGAATGTCTTAAARGATTTAGGTTATTTTCACCAGCAGGACCAGTGTGGAGGAGGCATGCCCTGAAAAGATCTTAAAAGCGCTGATAGTGCTTCCTGTATGGACTCCTCCAAATGACATCTTTGTGTGCATTTCTGAATGTGTGGGGTGGTAGCATTATTGGTAAGAATAAATTTGAGATAATKCAGGTTGAGTGGTGAGAGTATAGAGAACCTAATAAAAAGTATATTTTCAATAGATAGTYAAGTTCACAAACTCAGAGAAGCTAAATGATTTCCATCTTCTGTGGTTGAGAGTTGTGACCCTGCTTCCTGGATGCTGACATTGTCTTTGCTTTAACTGAAACCTAGAATTTTGCAATTTCACTGCAAACGAGGCCTGGCTGATTTTTGTTACTGTTTCCTTATTTCCTCTACATCTTCATAGCAAGTGTAGTCAGGAAAGAAATCGTGTGTTTCTGTTCTAAATGCCTCAGTAGGTAATTGGTCCAGAAATCGAGCTTGCAAATTCTCTTAACTTAACAAGAATATAATTGCACGTGTGCTTGTCTGTATAGCAAGATCTGTGTGTGTTTTGTTTTTGATCTGTTRTCTTTTTATTTAATGGCCTTGAGTTTTAGCTTCACTTGAGAAATTCTAATAAATTTTGGGGTCTTGTCCAATCCTTCTGAAGTAGATAAATGCATGAGTCCTCTGCATCAGATTTTGAAATAATTGCTGTAGGAGAAGCTCCACYTGAGCTTCAAGATAACCTCAGGTATTTCAGTAATTCCTGGTGTGTTCTGAGGGCTGCCTCTGCTGGTTTGGTGTTTACTGTAATGGTGTCTTGTGGCTGGGGACATGGAGCAGGCTATAGGAGGTTGCCTGGTTGTAACATTGAAAAGTCACTGCAATCCCATGTAGATTAATATTCTGAAGGCCTTTTTTTTTTAATGAATGAACCTGTATTAATGTGAATTTACAGTTGCAGTTGGATTTTTTTCCCTCTTGTGCATTAGTTGATGATTATAGCAGCCATCCAGGAGTCAAAACTTCRGTACTTTTCTTCCAGTTCTATCACAAGCCTCTGTATTGCCTTAAGATGCTTCGTCTGTTTTTTACGCTGCAGCCATTATAATGGGAATAATGTTCTCTTCCTACTTCCCCTTTGAGCACCAAGGCTAATAGAACRCCTTGAGGACATTGAATAAAAGATTCAAAGTTCAGCGTAACATTAAAAAATAGTCATGCAATTGGAAAGGGTTCAAACATACACTTAGCTCAAGATGAGTAGGTTAGATAAAGGTTAAACCAAAAATGTGCAGAAAAATTCAGGGGACAGAAAGAGCTATAAATACTGTYAGCCCACTCTTTATTTCCTTGATCTAATGTTGATTCTTGAGACTGAGTTCTTGAGAGATGTCTTACAAGTCTGTGTTTCGCCAGATAGCAGTATCGATAGCTTGAAGCAATAAGATTGGTTTAAAAAAAAAAAAAAAAAAGTGCATGCCTGGATAAAGTGTGACTTACAAAATAGGACATATCTGTGAACACACCGATATAGATGGAAGATTCCTTCATCTTTTTGTATCAGGTAGTGAATGAAGAAAAGGGGTCAGTACTTAGAGAATTTGGAGAAACCGCAATAAGTTTCATCGTTTATTGGTGAGGACGTGCATGGGATGGAAAGGTTGATGCACAGTGTCAGTGCATTACTCTTCTTCCTCAGTGGTAGATCATTTGTCTTTATCCGAAGAGAGGTCTTTTTGTTTTGGGATTTTGAATAAAAATGTAGAGGATTTTGCTCTCATAATCATTTTGAAATGTCTGTTTATTCAAACAACATGAGAAAGGCATGGATGTCCTTTCATTGGAAAAGTCTCATCCTACCTACTTGGGAGTGCTTCTGGCAGGCGGAATCCTGTTTCTGTACCAACTTTGTCTGATGCTTATTTATTTAGCTAATATTTGAGCTTGTGTTTGAACAGTGTACTGTGTACTATGTAAAGTATAATACATTTAGGTAATAAATTGGTTAAGATCAGAATTAAGCATTAGGATCATTTGAACTTTGCTCAGCACTGTCATTGCCTTTTATGTGACCAAATTCAGCACTTTGGTTGAGCTATAGCAGTACCTTTTCCGGAGAAAGTAGTTATGGGGTGTTMTGTTGCCATTAGATTTAAATTCATGGTACAGAGATGACACTAGTTCTTTGTCTTAGACAGGTGTTGATTGGTCCTGTCTTCCTGTGTGGAGTCAGATACCTTGCAAGAAATGTAGCTGAAGACAAAAAGGCAAAGGTAAAATTCCCTAAGTCACAAAGAGGAGTAAGAAAAGCAAGAAAGTCCTCGTTTCTGAMGTAGATGCTCCTCAGTGCTTTAGTCCTGGTGGTTATCCAGAAATTGAGAGGATGGAAGGGGAGGCRGGGTGAATGTCATTCTTTCATAATAATTTTCCGTAACAGATTTCCCAAGCATGTAAGATTTCCTGCATGTCTCTGCTTGAGTTGCTTGCCAGATTTCCTTGCACAGTCTCTTGTATAGCTATCTTTTTCCATTCTGTGTTTGGAAGGGCTTATTCCGCCTGCAGAAGTTTACTTACTTTCTCTGAGTAGCTGAGCGAGTTCAGGGGTCTCTCGGGGACTTAAACTTGTCAAGTAATGATGCTACTGTCGTATTTCCTGACCTTTTTTTCCCCCCGCCCGTGTTGTTGAGCTTTTCCTGCAGGCCAGGCTGGCTAAGCTCTGCTGCTGATACTGTGCATTGTTCCCCCCAGTGAAACTGCTCAGGCTTGTGCAGTTTGCGTGTGCTCTGTAGCACAGTGCTCAACAGCCTTCAGTTTAAGCTTGTCTTGCAAGGTATTTTAAATCTATTTCAAGGAGCAGATAAGTGCTAATAGGGAGGAAAAAATGGCAAGAGATGCTTATTTCCTTAACAAACAGAACTTCATGCGAAGTGCAAAGTCTGGCAGAACTAGGATGTGTAGAACCTTTTGCATAACCCTTGCCGTGAATTGTGGCTGAAGACCGTTTGTCCAGCTTTTTAGAAAATTAGGAACATTTCAGACATAGACTTGAATGTTGGCTTAGAGAAAACACTATGAAGACAGAAAGAAATTTTTATAGCCACTGATCTGAAAGCCAGAATRTCTTTACTTGTTTTGAGGTTTTCAGACATAATGCAGACAGTGCTGTCTAGTGTATGAAGGATCTAAGGCTATAAGAAACACTACGACCTGAAATTGAGAGTTATTTCTTACATACCCTGGCATATAAGTAGTAATTAATTTAATCTGTGGCGTAGGATTACAGTAACAGCCAATACTGTGTATGGAAAGAGTCCAGCATGAGGACAACACGCGCTCTCCTCTCAGCAGCCTTTTTTTTTTTTTTTTTCCTAGCAAATATTTGCCATCTTATTTTATCAGTATTTAATCTCTTTTTTGCTTGGTTATTCATGGTACTTTGAGTTCACGTTGGGAGAAGAGAGTATGTTATTAGGAAAACAATGTCTAATTTGTTGAGACAGGATTATGTGGCTCAGTGGATTTTATGAACATGTCATTTCTCATGTCAGGTGATTTAACATTTCATTGGAATGCTGATAAAATGGCTTCAATAACTTTGATTTATTGTTAACATTTTTGTGTAGATAAGTGTCTTACAAGTGCTTTAGCTACAGTGAAAGTTACAGATTCTTTTTTTTCCCACTTATATCCTGACTAAGGTAATTAATGTCCTTTAAGATAAATACAAGTAACACTGCAGCGTGCATGTATGGGTTGCTGYCCCGTTTACTTAGCCCAGGACATTGATACCAGATCTATAATCTGGTTTRTGTGTTTTGCCTGAGACTTTTAGCATCGTATCTTCAAAAGAAAACTGCATAAATCTTACATGTAAGTGTAGTGCTCTCCTTCTCTCCCAGGCAAGCCATTGTTGYAGGCCCGTTCTTGGTGCCCTTCTTAGCTGACCTCCGTGTCCCAGAAGGAAACTTGCTGCTGCTGTTTCTGCTTCCCGCAACCAGAGCATCCTTCTGGCTCTGCCATTAGCTGTGTCACTGAGGCAATGCTTGTGGTGACAGGGGCTCTCAGCTGGAAGGGAGCAAATTAGTCACTGGGCACATGTGAGTCAGTTTTTGAAGGCTGGCCCTGTGGTGCTACACTGCTACCTGGCAAAGCCTTACTAATAACTTTTGTTTGTTTTTGTGTAAGTAGAATGTTTTGGTTGAAATTTGTGTGTATCTGTATATTTGTACGTGCTCAAGTACTGATTTGAGCATTGCTTTTCTATTAGGAACCTGACGTTCGTGTGTAGCTCATGACATAGGTATCTGTCTGAAAGTTCATGTAAATTGAWTTTCAAGGTATTTTTAAAAAAAAATCTTTTGCAAAGTCATAAARCTATAAAGCAGTAAAAATATAGGTTATCTAAAGGACTTTAGCAGACAAGTTGCTTTAAAATCTCATTGTAACAGTTGTTTCATCATTCCCCTAAACTGATAGATGCTACCACTCCTCCACTGCTGAAACATTAAAAGAAATCGTGTGCTTGTGTATCAYGTGCTTCAGGTTGCAGTTTGCCTTTTAACTGGATATTTCTTTTATTGTCAGCTTTTAAACTGAATTTCAAGACCTGTTGTGCTGTAGTGATGGAAGTGCTGGCAAGGCTGCTTAATGGAGGTGGAGCCTTTTTGACCCCCCCCTCCCCCCCCCCGAGTTAAAAATTCTCCTTACTGTGACATGTGAGAGGGMATTTACAACATAGTTAAAAGTGATTGTAGAAAGATACTTATTTTTAACTGTCACTTTCTATCTAAGTCTATTGTAGTATGTTTACACTTTAGTAAGRCTTGTCACATTTAATGTAAATAGCTCTTCTAATAATATAAATGTGGTGGGATTTTTTCCATTTTCCATGAAATTTTCAAGTATGTCGGATCACTGAAATAGAAGAAATTAYTGCATAAATATTTGGATTTAGTTTGCTGCAGGGACAGATAAACTTGCAACAGTTTTTTTCACTAAGCATAGACTGAAAACTGTGTATTTATTTCGCTATAGTTTACATCCACTTGCTTCTTCAAAAGTAGAAGCTGAAAAAACTTCTTTTCCTCTTACAAAACGTAATAAAAATGGAATGCAGTGCTGAGCTGAGCTATGCTCTGTTAGAGATGTTGTGACCAAAGCAGTCACCTTACTTCCTAACAAAAGATAAAACTACCTTACTTTAAAAATATCAATTTAGTTTTCAGTGCAAAACATGTTGATTAAAGTCAATAAGATGATAATTTTAATAGTATCTTATACTATTAAATATACTATGTGACACATATTGCATGTGTCAATGCTATGCTTATGGTAGTTCGGAGAACATCTGGAACAAGAAATAAGATGGCTATTTGCTGTTAACATCAAATATGAAAATCATAAATCTGAATGGGTGGATGTTTAAATTACGTAATTACTTAAATGTAACTGTATTATAGCAGGTTGTTAGCAGGAAGAGGTCCCATATATGGGGTAAAAGCTATATTTACTTGAAAAGCGACCTCAATTTAAAGTTGCTATGTAGTGGTAGACTCTTTTGAAAAATACGTAAACTGCAAAATAAAATAATCCATTTAAATTTTTCTTGCTTTATGATTGAAGTCCTAACTGCGCTTAGTTATTGCAGATCATTTTGAATTAATCAGCCTAGCCTGTCTGTTCTCCTGCAGTRAACTGAATATTTTTGTAATAGATATTTTTAAATATGAGAAGAAGAAAATACAGTGTTGGTTATGACTTTTCCTATGAAGTCCAAGAAGGTAAATTTGAAGCACGATGGAAATAGACTGGAAAACATCAGATGAACTGAACAGAATGAGTGCCTTAGCTGGAAGGCACTAATCATAAATTCTGACTTCTTACCTTGATGAATCTCCCCCTTTGATATGAAGAGAAATGTTGCAGCACTGTYTGATGGGGAAGTTCCCAGTGCAGCTGAGCCCCACTAACGTCTTGCAGTTTCTAAAAGGTCTCCTTGCGCCAAGTCATGTGGGTGCTGCCTGCTCCTTTGTTCTCTGCTTCAGCTCTGACACTGYTCTGACCCTTCCGTGAATTGATTCAGCTCTCTAAGCCCACAGGACAGTCCTTTTCTTTTTTTCTTTTCCCCTCTATTTTTGATGCTTTAAGAATCAGAATCTACTCAGAGAGGATGAGACAGGCACCAGACAGTCAGCAGAGAGAGGAGGGCAGGATCCTGGAAAGTAAATGGGGGTGACGTTGGGGAAGCTTGGAAAGGGGTGCAGATGAAGGGATCTTGCAGTGGTATAAGCTGCTCCATACAATTTGCTTATCTAGTAGGCCTGCACCTTTGGTTTCCTTGTCAGGAAAGTACAAGAAGTGTGCTTGCCTGTTTCTCAAGGTGCCTAGAAAGATTTTACAGTGGGTATTCAAGACATTGTAAGTGGCAAAAAAAAAAAGTTTCTTTCTTAAGAGATAAGACGTTATAAAGGCATTGAATGTTAACAAAGGTAATTCTGTGAATGGCACATCAACACTGTCACTTATGAGGAAGGAAGAGTGTCCGTGTCCCTACGCAGGTGGCTGTTTCACCCTATAGTTTTGTGCTGCATGGATGCACTAGATAAAGAAGTCATAGAGGATTATGTGAACCTCCTGTATGTAGGAGATMCTAATAGATTTCATTGTCAAATTCAAATAAATTTCTTCTGAAAATATAATTCACACGTTACATAATTTGTCCATGTTAAGGAGAAGCTGCATTTTATTTGAAAATAGTGTGGAAAAGTGACTGTTTTGAGTGCAGTTAAAGGGCTGCAATTGGAGAAACTTATAGGTGTTTTTTGAGGCCAAAATACTGTCATTTGTCAATGTCATGAAAATTGTAATTAAAGATAATGGTAAGACCTTATTTGCTGTCAGAGCAAAATGCGTTAGTGCCCTAACATAGAGAAATTGCTTTCTGAGAAGTTTGGTCGTTCTGTTGTTGAACAGTGGTGAAGCTTTCTCCTAGTACTAATGCTTGAAATGCTAACTGTTTGAAACATTGCCGTGAGCAACTCAGTAGCATCTCTAGAGAGGAAAGTAATTACGTAAACCTCTTTCAAAAGTTGATATGRTTTCTGTTATTTGTAGCTCTGCTTCAGAGAAAATAAAAGAAAGTGTTGAGCAAAGGAACATTGCAGGTGACCTGCCTCCAATCCCCATTTCCTTTRAGGGGAAGGAGCAGATTTTTTTCCTGTGTGAGTAGCTGTACTAGAGAGTTCATTCTAATTTTTTGAGGGAAGTCAGCAAA